AAATTCGAGGAATTTTGGATGTGGTGCTTTCCCCCCCCACAGACCGGAAATGTACTTCCGGGGTCTGTCGAAGGGGGGTGACACCAAATATATCTCCGATAAGTACCTTTGCCTGCCAAGAAATCATAGACAATAAATCATTTTTTTTCATATCTCACTCAAGTATCAATCAATCGCAAGCAAAGAATCATACTTTTTGTCATACCTCATACAAATGAAATAATATATCCCGGTCAGCAAATCGTATATCTTACCATATCTCATACAAATTTCAACCTACCGAAGACCTTACAATTTAATAAATAACCCAAGATTCTTCAAGATCTTCCCAGCTCCGATCCTGAACCCTCGCCCTGAATAATTATATTTTAGGATTTAGGACTTAGATATCTTGTCCTTTCAATAAAATATAGGTAATAAATCGCACAACTTGTCATGTCTCTCAGAGATTCACACAAAGCACAATCAATAAATCCTATATCATACCATGCCTCACTCAGATACCAATAAATCCAGGCAACAAATCATATATCTTCAAGAAAAAAGTACGTTTACAATTTGATGGTACCCTGCGAGAGTCTTCTGCAATTTCTACAATTTCCATAACATACTCGCCTCCCCAATGTTTTTGGAATCAACATCTCCAGCTTCCTTCCCCATTGCAACACAAAAAAAGCTCCTCCAAAAGATCCCATGATCCCTAAATCCAGTCGCGGCTCAAGATAATTACATCAAGGCGCAGCAGCTAAAATACAGCTGTCACCAAAAAATGGCAAATCGATTGGAGATCTCGTATTCAAAGTCGCCCTCAATCTATCTCAAGAACATCTCATTCTCCTTGATATATACCTCGTTTGAACCTATGTTTCAGCAGGCTTTGCGAGCGAAAAAGGCACCTTTGTTCGCGCAGCAATCTACTCACAGCAACATCTTGTCTGCAATGCACTGGCGGAGAGTGGAGAGATTTGTGAGGCCTTGGCTTTCGTTCAGCACAATCCAGTCGGGAAGGTGAGGGTAATGCGGAAAGGCAACCACGCATCTGTTGTTCAACAGCCCGGCCACCCAAGAAAAGCTGCTTGGAGCAGTCACCAGCAAGTCAGCTTGGGCCATGTGTGCCCAGTCATCCAGCACATCACCATCCAAGTGCACGTGCACGCCTTTCTGCCTGTACACATCAAAGTCGGCCGCTGCGACTTCTCCTTCCGTGGTGCTGAAGATGTGGCACTCTGCATTCGGCAAGACCTGCCGAATCACGTCCAGCAGTGACACGTAGAAGCCATCGCCAATGTGTCGAAAGTGTGATACCAAGTCCGGGCTCACCATGATATCGCCCCGGCGAAGATGGATCGCGACATGACGTTTGCCTAGAGAAAAGAAAGGTGTCGGCCGTGTCAAAAGCCGAGTGGCCTGTCGCAGCTGTGTCAGAAATGGCTTCGTCAACGTGTCGGCATCTTGCTTTCGACTGTCAATCGGCCCGCAGCTCAGCTTGTACAGAACGTTATCCCCATCCTTCCATGGGGGCGAAAGGTTTTCAAGAAACGGGTCGGATCGCAGGCAGTGCTCAAAGTGCGGACGATGTACAGTTTGCCACATGTCCGAGTACCCGCCGCCGAGGTACTCGTCAATGCATCTGGAAACCTGAAGCTCCAGAACTGCAAGCCACGTCAAGCCAGGTCCATCTAAAGTGACTATTGATCATTAAACAGTCGTTTGCACAAGAGTTGCATGATTTCTGGGAGCAATCGACAGTTGCAGCACAAAAGCATCAGAAAAATCGCCGCGACAACACGACTTACAGTTCCTCACTTCTCAACCCGAGTGAGCCGCAAGTAGCAGGTACTAGATAAGACTGATGCAGATGAGTTTGGATCAGCGCGATCCAAGCCAAGCAAGACATCATTATGGGGAGTCCGCTCTTTGGCTCTTTGATGCTCTTTGCATCGGTTCTGCGACTCCGAGAGACTCATGCCGCAAGCCAGAAAGCACAGAGATACACTTAGGTAGACAGGTGCGGACACATGACATGATCGGCCAGGCTGCATTGACTCCGTGTGGGGCGAACGCCATCGGAACCAGGATGCCGCCAAAGTTCATGTGATGCTGCGCAGCATACGCCATGGCCATGACAATTGTCGCAAGGCGCTGGCCAAGTCCATCCCGCCTTTGGATCGCATAAAGCCTTGCCGCCGAAGCTGCTCCGAAATGGCACATGGGGCAATCTGCGGCAGACGGCCTTCCAGCCTCAAGAACGGAACTCTGGAACTACTCCGAGTGGGGTGACATATACTGGTGCTCTTTCGGGATCTGACGTTCATTCCATTTCACTCTTTCACTCAAATCTCTCTCAACTTGGCCGACCTGATAATTGTTTTGAGTTGGAGCCCATCTAAGCCCCACACGCTGGGAGCATTCGGCGAAGCCTCTTGCCCGCAGGTGTGCTCCTGAAGTGCTCTGCCAGACAGCAGTGACCGGGTACCCATAATATGATGGTGGTTTGCGTACGAGAACGTGGATATCTTGCTTTTGTGGCTTGGGCTCGGCTGAGCGGGAGGCTACTGGAACGCAACTCTGCACATACTGAGGCTGAAGAGACAAGCTTCTGGAGGGCCGATTGGGGATTTGGGGAGGACAAGCCGCGGGCACAAAGTTGCATCTGCTTGCACTTACACACCTGGTAACCTCTTCCACCAGTAGGCCGAGCTGCTGGTGCAATTTGATCACATAACTGCTGCCAGTAATGCTGCGGCTGCGGAGAATGCCGGTCGGTGCCAGACTGAAGCTGCAGAAGGGACGATGTGAGCGACGTCCGCACGGCACAGCACTGCCAGCTAAAGGAGCTCAGCGCGAGTACCTCGGACTGACAGGATCCCACGACAGGAAACCGCAAGGTCCACAACGGGCCACACATGTCCACATTTTTTAAGCAAGCTGATCGGATGCCGTGCTGAAACACCGCGAGACTGCAACATCCCGCACTATCCACACTGTGGACTTCTGCCATGGTGGGGTCAGAGCTTACGGATTGCATGCCAGCAGACAATGAAATAGCTGCCGCATCTAGCCGCTAGCCATTGGCGGCAAACATGCATAGTGGCCAGCAATACACATTCTAACTTGACTACGACGATGTTGCAGAATTGCGGCCAGGGCACAATCCAAACAAACATGAAGACGGTTGAACGAGGGGAAGATGGCATAAACTAACGAAGGTCGAGCCCAGACCACAGGGGCAAGCACATGCAATGACCACATCAGAGGGTTACTTCCCCGTGCTCTGGATGCCCTGTGGCCCTTCTGCACGACCCACCCCGCGACTCCCTGATCCCTTCAGCGCTGCCCATTCGTGATGCATCGAAGCTCTGGGTGGCAATCCCACAAGTAGCACAAGAAGCTTAAATATCAGCTCAATAGAAACAATCTCCACTTTTTTGGCAGGCTGCTGAGGTCGCTATGCACAGATGGTGAAGCGTTTTACGCTCCGTGTCATTGCGCGGATCTGTGCTCAAAGCAGCCCTGGCTACATCCGTTGGCAGTAAGTATTGGATGAATTCTGGGGGGTGCATGCCACGGTGACTTAGTCCAGCTGCATGTGGTTCGGCCCACTACCTGAACAAGCACACGACTCTCGAGGGCAACTCAGCAAACGAGGCTACTTGACTTGGTGCCGGGCCGTCGTCTTGCAGGGGATCCGCGGCCTCGCAATGACACCAAGTACCACGGGCGTGCGCCACACTTATGCCATCAGATCATTTGCCTTTTGCCCAGTTCAGAGTTCACCATAAAACTCACATATTGCAGGTATTGCAGGTGCCCATGAGTGCTAGGACGCGACAGAGCGAAAGGTCTGAAAATCTGCTCAGCTCTTGAAGCCTCCGACCTTGACCAGGCGACCAGTGCCCCACATTGAGTGCAGACAACAGATGAGCCATCCTCGCTGCAAAAGGCTTTGGGAATTTTGTTGAAGCTTTGGGTGTCGGTAGCGCGGCAGGTTCTGATGATCAGTGATCAGTGAGGTCCGCAGGGCCTTGCTCCAAGGTCTTCTTGAGAATCTGGCCGTGTCCCCTGTCAAGCAGGCCCCGCACTGAAACGAACTGAAACGCAACAACATACAGCTCAAAGAGCTGGCAGTCCAGTCCACCAAGATGCCTCCTGGTTGCAAAATCTCTCGGCAGACCTGCCGGTGTGACCCGCCGCATGTTTTCACCTGGGAGACCGGACCCTGAACCGTCCGCCTGCATGGCCGACTCCCTTTGTGAAGCACGCCACGCAGCAGCCGCCATTGCCGTGGGCCCGGCCTCGTCTCATCACTCCCACCCCATCACTCGAGTTGAGAACAGGTCGATCTGTAATTATTCGAAAGAATCGGAGCAGAATGCTGGAATGCGGCAAAGTCCAGTACATGCAGACAGCGTAGAGCTGAAAAACAAGTGCAAGGATCAACAACCAAGCCAACAAGAATGCAATAGAGCAACAGACGCAACAGCAGCAAAGGCACCGGCACCAGCAAGAACCACAACCAAAACAATCACCACAACCAAAGCCACAACCAACATGATAGTGACAGCGACGACGACTACGGCTGCTACTCTGACAACTCGGCTGCGACTACGGCTGTTTCTGCTGCTACGACTGCTTGGCTGCTACTACAGCTGCTAACTACAAACCGCAGCTCCACCAGGAGCAGCAGTAGCAACACGACCACCAAACCCTACTCATCAGCGATCACAGATGTCCAGGACTGGTGGACGAGATGACAAGAGCACATCGCGCACAAGGCCTCTCTGCAGGGGACCCGACATCAGGAAAATCCCGGAATTGCCAGCACCAGCTTCGCCGAAGGGAGGAAGGATGCTGAAAGGTTCTTGTGCTGGCCCTGTAGACTTAGACTTCTGTACAAGAATCGCAAATGTGGGTGCTGAGGGGTTCTTTCTAGCACAAGCGGGGGGTGTTCCAGCGAGGCTTCTGTTCGCGAAGCGCTCCGCGCAGCTAAGGCAGGGGCTAGAGCCCTGCGGACTTTGCAGGCTCGGCAGCTTGAGGGGCCTCGGAGCTTGACACTTTGAGATGGCCTTCACGCGGCTTCAGCTACCCGAAGGCCCGAAACCACTGAAACCTCGGCGAAACAACCGCAACATGAGCAAGCGTAGCTGCTTATTATGGCACCCAATCGTTGTGCACTGCGTGCTGCCAACACTGCACTGCGAGTATATGATTTGATTGAGATCGAAACTCACTACTCTGATCTGCCAGTTGTATACTTTCGATGCGCTGCTATTTCTGATCTGGCTGCAGCCGAATCTATGGCAACGAGTTCGTCACCATTTGGCCACATGCACGGAGGAAGCTAAGAGCGAGTCTCTCCACAAAGGGAGACTCAAGAAAAATCAAGAAACAGCCTCGAGGTGCGTCCCTACAAGATGTACCATGAAGCGCATAGATTTTGAGTTTAAAGCTGTGGATATCGTGTATGTCTCAAAAGAGACCTCAATGACAACAAGCACAACGCCCACTTCTCACAGTTCCTGGCAACCGCAGCCTGAACGTTACTGGGAGGAAGCTAAGAGCAAGTCTCTCCGCAACAACGCAGCAGCTGGCAACTGCACAACAGATGCTTCATGGAAACGGCGTCAGCTGGTAGCCCTCACTGCATTTGCAAATCTCTCGGTCAGTACTCCGAGGGTTCGTGCCGTGATATCACCGGGACGTGCGCGCCTCCGTGGTGGACTGGGTGACGGATTCAGCGTTGGCGAGGGAGGTCGAAGAGATGTTCAGGAAGGAGCGGCTCAGCAGCACCAATTTATCATTGGCGCCCGTGTAGGCGATGTTTCAGGAGCTGCGGGGCACGACGCCCAGAGAGCGAGGCAGCTGCCTAGCAGCCTAGCACTTACCTCACCAAATCCTCCGACTCCTCCGTCACCACGATGTGGCCGCAGACGAGTCGTCGTCGCCAGATGGTCGCGGATCGCGCGGAAACGGCTGGGTTCCATGAGGACCTTGGCACCAGAGGGCAGGAGCCAGTCGAATCCTGCTTCCTGCAGGGACCTCCGGTACGGCTGGAACTCCGCAGATTGCTCTGAAAGCCTTCTTGAACGCCGCGTGCGAGCGGCTGTACTTCAGCAGCACGACACGCGTGAAGGACGTGAGTGGCTGGGCCACGTGCGTCTCCGACTGCATGGCTTCGCCATGCCATCCAGAGCCGGCGTTGTGCTCGATCCAGGACGCCTCCTGCCTCCTGCTAAGCCACGATGGCTGTGCCCTCCTCTTCCGCAATGTCGGCGGCGGGCTCCAGATGGTTGACACGCTGCACAACTTCGAGTCCCTCTTCCGGATTGGGCACGGGGATGCCTCTCGTCGGAGGCAGGGCAAACTGAACTTGAAAGTCTGACGGAACACCGTACAGGCCTTTGCCATTCTCTCCGAAGCAAACCAGCTGGCCACTCACCGTTACGGCGCAGGTGTGCTGCCATCCTGCAGCCACCGCAACCACCGGACCAAGGTCGGGAGGCACATCGCACTGGCCGTGGTCATTCCTTCCGAAGCAAACCAGCTCGCCGCTCACCTTCACGGCGCAGGTGTGCTGATCTCCCGCAGCCACCGCAACCACCGGACCAAGGTCGGGCGGCACATTGCACTGGCCTTGCCGATTCCATCCGAAGCAAACCAGCTCGCCGCTCGCCTTCACGGCGCAGGTGTGTTTCTCCCCTGCAGCCACCACAACCACCAGACCAAGGTCGGGCGGCACGTCACACTGGCCTTGGCGATTCGATCCGAAACAAACCAGCTCGCCACTCACCGTTACGGTGCAGATGTGTGCCAATCCTGCAGCCACCGCAACCACCGGACCGAGGTCGGGTGGCACATCGCACCGGCCGTCGGAGTTCCATCCGAAGCATACCAGCTCGCCACTCGCCTTCACGGCGCAGGTGTGGCGGCCTCCTGCCGCCACCGCAACCACCGGACCAAGGTCGGGCGGCACATCGCATTGCCTGTAAAAATTTTTTCCGAAGCAAACCAGTTCGCCAGTCACCTTGACGGCGCAGGTGTGGCATGCTCCTGCAGCCACCGCAACCACCGGACCAAGGTCGGGCGGCACTTCGCACTGGCCTGCAGCTGCCGCAACCACCGGAGCAACATCGATGCCTCCGAAACCATGCAGCTGACCGCCATCACTGATTGCGAATGTTGACACATCTGCTGCTGCAATCGGGCACAAGGACCCGGAGCGAAACTTCACAGCCAAGAAGGGCAGCACCACCTCCCGGGCCAGGTTTGCGAGGGCCGCTTGTTTGACAGAGTTTTGGCTCTTGCGCATGTCGGCCAGGAGCCAGCAGAGGTGGTGGAGGTCGCGGGCCAGGACATGCAGGCCGCATGCTTTCAGGTGCTCGATGGCCATAGCTATCCCAGCGAGCCTGACTGCAAACCTGGGTCCTTGAAAGGAGGTGGCTGCTGCATAAGGCCAACTGTGTTTGGGGCCTTCTCGTTGTTGCTGCCGGGCCAGCCAGCTGAGAGGCGCCTTTCTTTGTTGGCTGCTGTTGGGGTTTAGGGTCTAGGGTTTAGGGTTTGGGGTTTAGGGTGTCGGGTGTAGGGTTTATTACAACCTGGAGCAGTGTCGGTCGGCTCCCTTTGTCTTTCGAGGTTGCACCAAAAGGGCAGCGTCTATTAAAAAAAGTGGCCCTACACACGTATTCCTGTTTCGCAAAACCCTTTCAAGTCTGCGTGCACCTGTTCAGAAGTCCAGGCCCTGTGGATTTCTAACCTGAATGGCGTCTGATATGGAGAGGTTCACGCATGCCATCCTTCAAAAACCGTACATGTCTCTTCTCCCACAAAGTTAATATGACAACCCTAGTACCTTGACCCGACGCCACGCAAACTAGTTTTGGCAAAAGCTCCGATCAATGGCCGAGGGAAGCGGCAAAACCAGGAGAGTCAAAAGCAGAGGATGGAGGTTCGATTGCTGCCGGGGACTTAGGGAAAGCTGAAGGCTGAGGTGTGTAGCTTGTGGCTTGTGGGAGAGAAAGGAGTACAAGCCTGAAACCCGAAACGGCCCTCAACCCCTTCCATTGCTGCCCAATTCTTAGTCTTAGGTCGAGTTTGCTTCGACCGGCACTCGAAACTTGAAACTTAAGTGGAGCTCATCTTCCTTTTTCAATCATGTGTCTTTGTTGACGAAGGAAATTCCGGTGCCTCCTATGGCTTCGAAGCAGACTGGCCAACCCGCGCCCTCAACTCCCCGCCTCCGCCTAAACCCCCGCACTCCCCCGCCCCAAACCCCCAAACCAGATGCCCGCCCAGCCGGCGGAGGTTTGTGTTTTTAAAGGTGTGGCTCCGACGTGTTTTTTTTGAAGGTGTGGCTCGGTTTGGCTTGGCAAATACTGCAAATAGCAGAATTTCCGTGTTCTGCAAATACTGTAAAGTAGCAGCATTTCCGCGATGTTAAAGGCTGCAAATACTGTAAATAGCAGCATTTCTGACTTTGCGGAGGCTGCAAGTACTGTAAACATACTGTACGTAGCAGCATTTCTGAGTTTTCAGGCGCTGCAGATACTGTAAAGACCAGCATGAGACAAAACAAACGGTCTGGAATCATATGCTTTGACGCATGCTCGCTTGGTAGGGCTGGCTGGGATTGATTCCATCACAAGGTTCGCGCCGCCGCCCCCTCCCGCAAAAAGTGACGGATGTTCGGGAGTAGCCCTCCAGGAACCCCATGGCAGGCCAGGAGTAGCCTTTTCGCCCTTCAGGTGACAGGCTTCGGGAGTCGCATCTCGTCCCCCCCCCCCCTCCCCTCAATCTGGTGACAAAGAGTGCCCCTCCCCACCCCCTTTGGGCGTCAGGCCTACAGGAAGGCTGCATGTGCTTGTCGGCGAACACGCCGGACCCTGACGCACACAGACTTCATGATGACGCACCAGGGCATTGGGACAAGAAGTCAGGAGGCACCTTTTCTTCATCTCGCAGAACAGGTCCGGCAACTCGCCCTTCAACGTGTCGTACTGCTGGAACTTCATCCAGCGCTTGACCCCCTGAGCAAAGGCTCTTCGCTGCCAAAACTTGTTGCTTGCAGCAGGCTCGTGCAAACAAAACTTGGTGGGCCCTAGGAACCACATGCGTGTCAGCTCCCTTGCGCGGCCTTACGCTCTCCAGAAGCTTCAAGAGACGCAAGGGGCTGAAGCAAAATACAATGGATCAAGGGAATTTCCAGAGGATGGCGCGGTGGTAATATGGATGAACTTGAACGCGCTTAGGCAGTGAGGGGAAGGGAGAGGCCCAAACCCGGCAGGGTGTGGCATCCTAGGGGTGGAGGGCAGCTTTGCGAGTGCTTTGATTTGAGAGGTCCGTGCGATCGCAATAAACATCTATGTGCTGAGAACCCTGCCTCCTCTGCGCGCGACAAATGCAATCAAGCTGCTCACGAACCCGGTCACCACCCCCTCCCAACCGCCCCCGAGGATGTTCTGGATCAGGAGGCTCCGAAAAAATGGAGAGATGATGATTCGCACGACCCATGGGACACCGGCAGACGCTTCGCGACCGCTTGCGACCGCTTCAACGCAACAGCCACAAAGCGAGTTTAGCCAAGTCTTGACTCCCGAGCCCATAACTTTGGAACGTGGGTACACATGGTACACTACAGTACAATGCCAATCCAAACGGCTGAGCAACCTGCAACACTTGTAGCAAGAGGAGAACCCCTCTGGAGCGTCCTTGCCGCCCCAGCCTGAGAGAGGACGTCGTTGCGCTGCCCCTGCGCAAGCAAATCCATGTTTGTTATTCTGGCAGGGGCTGACAGACGAATCAGCTCTGTAAGACTTCAGCTGCATGAACAATTTGGCTCACCGGACTTTCCCCAGTGTGCGCCTGGTACTGCTGCTGACACTGGATCGGTGTATCCAAATCTCGTTGGATCCAGGTTTGCGCATTGGAGGCGCTGGATGAGGGAAGAAAATCTGACATGGCGACGTCAAGGGAGTTTTCACGCACGGAGCTGGTATGTCGGGAGCATATCTAAGCTGCTATCAGATTCCTACTCACGTCGCGTCAGCTTTGGGAATGGATTGCGGCAGTTACATACCATGCTGAAAGCTCAGCACGAGCGCTGACGGTCACGGCTTCTGCAAGGCTGGCTCCGCATTCTAAGGAGCATGTGAGGGCTATGTGAACTATGCCAGTAGTATCTTTCCAACTACATAAGCCGCAAGCCGCAGAAGTGTTTGGGCACTCGGTTGAAGGTCACGCTTCCTTTCAAAGAGCCCACGCTTCGGTTGTGCATAAACGCTGAATTTACAGCCGCATCAAGGGAAGCACCTAGAACAAACCAGCGTTTGCCGAGCGAAAGCCTTTTCGATGCTACGTGCATGCCCCATTCAGACTTTTCACTGGCCTGGTCACTGGCTTTTCTCAGCGCAGTGCCCCTCCAAGCCCCGACAACCCCGCCGGGCACGCTGGGGCATGGCAGCGACACGCTCATGAATGTTGGGACTAAGGGGAGGCAGATTTTCGGAAAACAACCCAGCAGTTGCAGCACACAACCTTTTGTTTCAACTCGGATCTCTTTGGTCTTTGATCAACCCTCGGGATCGTCGCCGATGGTGTGAAGGCCTGCCGCTCTTTGCACTCACGTCTAAGGCCTTGTAGGGTGGGCTTCGCTTGGGGCGCACGTCTTCCAGTTTCTCCCTTTACGAGAAACGGGATCCGATAAACAAACGTGCCGCGAAGAGCTTTCATTCATGAACACTCTTGAACGTGGTTCCCCAAAGACCTCTCCCTACAATCTGGAGCCGGAGACAGGAGGAGAACCCTGATAGGTACGGTAAAGGGGCTCGCTCGTAGATGCTCAAGGCTTCGGGGAAAGTTTTGAAACTTAACGCGCGTGTGAGCAGAACAAGGCACATCCACAACCAAGTCCGCAGAGTGAGAGGAGCACGCCTCTAAGACACAGGCAGCCCAGTTCATGGAGCATGGACCTCCAGCTCAGTAGCGACTCAAAGGCGAAAGACCCACAGGCAAACGGGCCCAACAGGCATGCACAGGGCCGAATTTAGATGCCAGGATTCGCACAAGAATTTAGCAGAGATGACATAAGGCTCTGCGAGGGTTCCGGAGCCAGGGAAGGGCTAACCGATAGAGGTACAGCCACGTCAGCGCAAGTGCATTTGTCCGTGACACACGAGTCGACAACTGCACTCGAAGGAGAAGACAGCAGACCTTAAACTGAAAGCCTGCACCACCTCAAAGGTCGAGCCCCAGCCCTACGCTGCACAGCAGGAATGACGCACTGCATGCACTGAACCTAGAGCATGCCAACTGAAGACAGCCGTATGTTTTTCTTCCTTCGGCGGGTGCCGCTTTGTCACCAGCTCGTCGGTCATTGAACGCCATGGAGCTTTTCCGAGCTCCGCAATCATGTCCATGATGTCCTTGCAGTCAGCGCGTGGGTTGGGGGCTAGGCCGATGCCATTGTTGGAAGATCCGGCCGATCTCGTAGACACGGCCCAGATCCCCGATCACCAGCATCTTCAAGCACTAGGTCACCACGGATTCATGGCGAGGGCCACCTCCAAAAACCCTTCCGTCAAGGTAGAGGGTCTGCCACGCGCTTAGATGCAGGAGGTCCAGGTAACGCTTCCTGAGTCGGGCCTGCTGCATGCTGCAAGCAGGGCGCCAGCAGCTTGACCTCCTCGGTTGTCATCCTCCGTGAGCTCGGCCTGCTGTCGTGTAAAAAACAATATCGAAGCCCTTATGCTTGCAACCCCGCGCACAAGGTTCGCGCCGCCCCTCCCCCCCTCCCGCAAAAGTGACGGATGTTCGGGAGTAGCCCCCCTCCAGGAACCCCGCATCTCGTCCCCCCCCCCTCCCGCCTCAATCTGGCGACAAAGAGTGCCCCTCCCCACCCCCTTTGGGCGTCAGGCCTACAGGAAGGCTGCATGTGCTTGTCGGCGAACACGCCGGACCCTGACGCACACAGACTTCATGATGACGCACCAGGGCATTGGGACAAGAAGTCAGGAGGCACCTTTTCTTCATCTCGCAGAACAGGTCCGGCAACTCGCCCTTCAACGTGTCGTACTGCTGGAACTTCATCCAGCGCTTGACCCCCTGAGCAAAGGCTCTTCGCTGCCAAAACTTGTTGCTTGCAGCAGGCTCGTGCAAACAAAACTTGGTGGGCCCTAGGAACCACATGCGTGTCAGCTCCCTTGCGCTGCCTTACGCTCTCCAGAAGCTTCAAGAGATTCAAGGGGCTGAAGCAAAATGGATGGCAAGGTGGAAATACGGAGGAATTTGAACGCGCTTAGGGGAGTGAGGGGACTGGAGAGGCCCAAACCCCTTTGAGAGGTCCGTGCGATCGCAATAAACATCTATGTGCTGAGAACCCTGCCTCCTCTGCGCGCGACAAATGCAATCAAGCTGCTCATGAACACCACCCGGTCACCACCCCCTCCCAACCGCCCCCGAGGATGTTCTGGATCAGGAGGCTCCGAAAAAAATGGAGAGATGATGATTCGCACGACCCATGGGACACCGGCAGACGCTTCGCGACCGCTTGCGACCGCTTCAACGCAACAGCCACAAAGCGAGTTTAGCCAAGTCTTGACTCCCGAGCCCATAACTTTGGAACGTGGGTACACATGGTACACTACAGTACAATGCCAATCCAAACGGCTGAGCAACCTGCAACACTTGTAGCAAGAGGAGAACCCCTCTGGAGCGTCCTTGCCGCCCCAGCCTGAGAGAGGACGTCGTTGCGCTGCCCCTGCGCAAGCAAATCCATGTTTGTTATTCTGGCAGGGGCTGACAGACGAATCAGCTCTGTAAGACTTCAGCTGCATGAACAATTTGGCTCACCGGACTTTCCCCAGTGTGCGCCTGGTACTGCTGCTGACACTGGATCGGTGTATCCAAATCCCGTTGGATCCAGGTTTGCGCATTGGAGGCGCTGGATGAGGGAAGAAAATCTGACATGGCGACGTCAAGGGAGTTTTCACGCACGGAGCTGGTATGTCGGGAGCATATCTAAGCTGCTATCAGATTCCTACTCACGTCGCGTCAGCTTTGGGAATGGATTGCGGCAGTTACATACCATGCTGAAAGCTCAGCACGAGCGCTGACGGTCACGGCTTCTGCAAGGCTGGCTCCGCATTCTAAGGAGCATGTGAGGGCTATGTGAACTATGCCAGTAGTATCTTTCCAACTACATAAGCCGCAAGCCGCAGAAGTGTTTGGGCACTCGGTTGAAGGTCACGCTTCCTTTCAAAGAGCCCACGCTTCGGTTGTGCATAAACGCTGAATTTACAACCGCATCAAGGGAAGCACCTAGAACAAACCAGCGTTTGCCGAGCGAAAGCCTTTTCCAGATGCTACGTGCATGCCGGGCGCACGTCTTCCAGTTTCTGCCTTTATGAGAAAGGCTTCGAGTCAAGGATTGGACTGCTCACAGCTAGGCTTTGAACCATCCTTTGTGCCAGTAATACGTTGAACAGAATAAAAGTAACGACACTGGCAGCTTTGAACTGTGCAAGGGGGTGTTGAGACCAAAGATACGCGATGACATGTGATAGTGTATGCCTGTGACCATCGTAACCCGGGAGCCTGACAAAGGCCCAGCAGGATAACTTCTACAATCAACAACAACTCCGCCCAGCCCCCCAACCCGACCAAACAACGCAATGCATTCGATCCAGCTTCTTATGACTCATGAGTACCAACCGCCCGAGATCAGCGCGCGCGGCGCTCAGGCTGGGCGTCGTCCAGCTCGCGTTCCATTTCATCAAACAACGCCTGGAAGCACAGCAGAGCTTGAACCAAGCCCCCGCAGGAAGCACTGCAGCACGGTAGTCGAAAGCAGCATGCTGGTTATGAAACTTCTGGCCGCCTCCACTTCGGCTTGCTCGGCCCGCGCCCAACGCCGCTCTATCTGACGCTGCGCGTCCGCCACCTTCCTGGCAAGATGGAGGAGGGCTACGAGGTGTTGAAGACATGCTCAAAACCTCTGATGTCTGAGGAGCCAGCAAAAACGTCTCAGCAGGGATGCTCTGTCCTCCGTCAGTGGCCTGAATCATCTTCGTTTCATGTCGTGTGCCTGGGCACCCGACCGCGCTGTGCACGCAAATGGAAGTAGGCCGGCAGCGGCGCGGCCGTAGGCAGCACGAGGAGCCTGACGTTTCGTCTTCCAGAAACTAACAAAGTCTTAACCGCTGCTCCAAAACACTTTCGGGACAACCATTCTCGAGTTGCGTGGCTGAGGGCCAAACGGGCGGATGCTTGTGACCTGCCAGGGGCTTTTCCACCAGCCAAGGCCTCGGCTCGCTGGTCACTGTTTCAAGCAACACCACTTTGCCACACTTCATCCGTGGACTCCCGTGGACACAGGGTGACATAGGCGTGTGCTGGCTTCTGTTTTCCGCGTTCTGCACGCGTGCCATCAACTCCAACACATGAGGCTACGGTGCCACGCCAAAACAAAGCTCGTCAAGTACCGACATAAGAACTCCCTTTACAAGTCTTAAGGCCAGAACATCTGCGCATAGTTTGGGCCTGCCTCACATCAGACTCAGCAGAGTCTGGTCTGAGAGAAAAAGGCTTCCTCGAGCTCCGGGCCGGCACGGCCGGCGCGGGCCCGGCCAGCGCGGGCCCGGCCAGCGGCGCTCCCAGCTCGCTTGCGGCACCACCGGCCTCCACAAGAGACTCAGAGAGACTTGCGGAGACTCACAGCCTTCCTCCCCTTAACAGCGGCTGCAATGTGTGGATGGTGAGTGGAAGGACACAGGCCACAACTCGGGGACAGACACAGCTTCAAGCCATGAAAATCAATCGCCACGAGCACTCAAGGTCTTCGCGGCGTCAACAATTAGCCAAGCGAAGCAACTTACGCAGCGATGTCCTGAACAGGCCCAAGCGGAACGGACTCGACTTACTATATGTTCAGTGCTCTCAGCTTCGGGCCAGTCCCGCACCAAAGTCGGGCCTCAGGAGGCTCGAAGGAAGCCCCGTGAAGCCCGCCTGGCGCTCACAAAACCGTCCGAGGCATGAGCCCCAAGAAGTCATCAGCTTCCTGCCAAACACTTGGCAAGAAGTCATCACCTTCCTGCAGAAAACTTGGCAATGAAACGTTAAAAGCTGCGTTGCCGGACAAACCTTGCAGTGCACTGTGCTCTGATGGGGTCTCCTCGGAAAGGCCGGAAAGGCGAGAATCAGCACCTCGAGCTCAACAGACACGCCAGCGTAGATCCCAAGTTGTGTAAGACCAGCCCAATCCAAGAGCACCGCAACACACAGCTCCATGACCACTGGGCATTTCAAAGAGAGAAGCGCTATGGGATCACAAGATGCGCAGGGCACCGAGGAGAGAGCGTGATCTGGACAGACCACGGAATGCGCAGGTCGTTCGCATTGCGATGAGAGTGCGGCAGGTTGTCGCTTACCATCGCGAGCATAGATAAGGGCGCGAGACCTCGGCGGTAGTACGATTTCAGGCTTTCCGGCGCACATCGCAAACGCGGCTGCCAGGCGTGACAAAAACACCGGACTCAGGCGACGTGCGCGGGGATTTCTGCTAGAGCGCGATTTGTCACGTCCGACGACGCCGCAAGCGTGGCTTTCACTATGCAAACCAGTAGTCGTCACCCCGAGTCTTTGACCCAAAATCGAGTGCCCTAGGCCCGAATCAACCGGCGCTAATCCTCTTACCCTGAACGTTAGAACCCATGGTGTTGTGGAAACCACCAACAGCAGTGTAACATCAGCTCTTGAAGACCACCCAAAGGGGTGCTTCAAGGATTCTACAGACATGCATCCGATTACATCGCATGTGCGGCCCTCATGTGTGCCAGTTGAAAGTCAGGCAAGCTGCCAAACTCCTGGATGGAAGAAGCCCCTGCGAAACACCTCCAACCTGCAACCAACGCACTGCACCAAGCCTTGATCTCGAAGAGATGTCTCCGACCTGAATCTATTGCATGGGAGAACTGCAGCTTCTTGACGAAACACATTGTATGGAAACACGAGCAGTGACATCATTTCCGTCTTCGGCCTGAAGAATCCCAAGAAGGAATCTTCCTGCCAAGAATTTGATAGAAGTCATGCGAATGCAATGCCGGACAAACCCTGCACTGCGTTGTGCTGCCATGGCGTCTCCTCGGAAGGACGCAGGGGCGCTGAGCTGGCCTCGCTTCTGATCTGTGGACGTGCACGAGCCATGTTCAAGCCGACGCTCTAAATCGTGAAAGGCAGGGCTGACTGTTCATATCGATTTCCTCAAATCGTGGAGTATCGTGGAGCTCAAAAATCAGGAATGCAATCCGAGGTCCCGGACTGGCGGAAGGACTTCAGCACCTCTGCTCAAGAATCAACATCCACTCTTGGCCAACAGCACCACCCAAAACAGGTACTTCAAGGGTACTGCAGACATGCATCCGGATAGCCAAACTCCTGCAACCTCCAACCATCGCGCTGCGCCCAGCCTTGACATTCAGAGGTCTCCGCCGGCGTCACCCTCCGTGGAAAGATGTCTTTCTTGGGGAGTCTACAGGATGTGACAAGTGCTTGCGTGAGGCCTTGAAACCCTAAACGCTGGGCCCTGAAACCCTAAACACAGGCCCTGAGGCCCTGAAACCCCTAAACACAGGCTTTGAGGCCTTGAAACCCTAAACGCTGGGCCCTGAAACCCTAAACACAGGCCCTGAGGCCCTGAAACCCTAAACACAGGCCCTGAGGCCTTGAAACCCTAAACGCTGGGCCCTGAAACCCTGAAACCTTAAACACAGGCCCTGAGGCCTTGAAACCCTAAACGCTGGGCCCTGAAACCCTGGAACCCTAAACACAGGCCCTGAGGCCCTGAAACCCCTAAACACAGGCTTTGAAGCCCTGAAACCCTAAACACAGGCCCTGAGGCCTTGAAACCCTAAACACAGGCCCTGAAGCCTTGAAACCCTAAACGCTGGGCCCGAACCCTAAACACAGGCCCTGAGGCCTTGAAACCCTAAACACAGGCTTTGAGCCCTTGAAACCCTAAACGCTGGGCCCCTGTCAGAAAGTCGGCCAGCAGAAGCCATTTCACTCAACGTGACTCAAACCGATGATCTCTTATTTCAGCATGGCAAACACTCACTGCCAACCCCACAAGCCATAAACGCACATTCCTCTGCCTCGTATCGGTGACGCTTGGGCTGTGCATGCTATGCAAGGGAGGTGGCCACGAGGATACTGCTTGCTTGAGCCTGCAGCTGTGACGGTGAGCTGGTGGAAGAACAGGGGGTGACCTGGAGCCGGAAACAGGTTGAGAACCTGATAGGCATGGTGAAGGGGCTCGCTTGTAGATGTTCAAGGCTTCAGGGAGAAGAGTGAGAGGAGCACGCCTCTAAGACACAGGCAGCCCAGTTCATGGAGCATGGACCTCCAGCTCAGTAGCGACTCAAAGGCGAAAGACCCACAGGCAAACGGACCCAACAGGCATGCACAGGGCCGAATTTAGATGCCAGGATTCGCACAAGAATTCAGCAGAGATGACATAAGGCTCTGCGAGGGTTCCGGAGCCAGGGAAGGGCTAACCGATAGAGGTACAGCCACGTCAGCGCAAGTGCATTTGTCCGTGACACACGAGTCGACAACTGCACTCGAAGGAGAAGACGGCAGACCTTAAACTGAAAGCCTGCACCACCTCAAAGGTCGAGCCCCAGCCCTACGCTGCACAGCAGGAATGACGCACTGCATGCACTGAACCTAGAGCATGCCAACTGAAGACAGCCGTATGTTTTTCTTCCTTCGGCGGGTGCCGCTTTGTCACCAGCTCGTCGGTCATTGAACGCCATGGAGCTTTTCCGAGCTCCGCAATCATGTCCATGATGTCCTTGCAGTCAGCGCGTGGGTTGGGGGCTAGGCCGATGCCATTGTTGGAAGATCCGGCCGATCTCGTAGACACGGCCCAGATCCCCGATCACCAGCATCTTCAAGCACTAGGTCACCACCGATTCATGGCGAGGGCCACCTCCAAAAACCCTTCCGTCAAGGTAGAGGGTCTGCCACGCGCTTAGATGCAGGAGGTCCAGGTAACGCTTCCTGAGTCGGGCCTGCTGCATGCTGCAAGCAGGGCGCCAGCAGCTTGACCTCCTCGGTTGTCATCCTCCGTGAGCTCGGCCTGCTGTCGTGTAAAAAACAATATCGAAGCCCTTATGCTTGCAACCCCGTGCACAAGGTTCGCGCCGCCCCTCCCCCCCTCCCGCAAAAGTGACGGATGTTCGGGAGTAGCCCCCCTCCAGGAACCCCGCATCTCGTCCCCCCCCCCTCCCGCCTCAATCTGGCGACAAAGAGTGCCCCTCCCCACCCCCTTTGGGCGTCAGGCCTACAGGAAGGCTGCATGTGCTTGTCGGCGAACACGCCGGACCCTGACGCACACAGACTTCATGATGACGCACCAGGGCATTGGGACAAGAAGTCAGGAGGCACCTTTTCTTCATCTCGCAGAACAGGTCCGGCAACTCGCCCTTCAACGTGTCGTACTGCTGGAACTTCATCCAGCGCTTGACCCCCTGAGCAAAGGCTCTTCGCTGCCAAAACTTGTTGCTTGCAGCAGGCTCGTGCAAACAAAACTTGGTGGGCCCTAGGAACCACATGCGTGTCAGCTCCCTTGCGCTGCCTTACGCTCTCCAGAAGCTTCAAGAGATTCAAGGGGCTGAAGCAAAATGGATGGCAAGGTGGAAATACGGAGGAATTTGAACGCGCTTAGGGGAGTGAGGGGACTGGAGAGGCCCAAACCCCTTTGAGAGGTCCGTGCGATCGCAATAAACATCTATGTGCTGAGAACCCTGCCTCCTCTGCGCGCGACAAATGCAATCAAGCTGCTCATGAACACCACCCGGTCACCACCCCCTCCCAACCGCCCCCGAGGATGTTCTGGATCAGGAGGCTCCGAAAAAAATGGAGAGATGATGATTCGCACGACCCATGGGACACCGGCAGACGCTTCGCGACCGCTTGCGACCGCTTCAACGCAACAGCCACAAAGCGAGTTTAGCCAAGTCTTGACTCCCGAGCCCATAACTTTGGAACGTGGGTACACATGGTACACTACAGTACAATGCCAATCCAAACGGCTGAGCAACCTGCAACACTTGTAGCAAGAGGAGAACCCCTCTGGAGCGTCCTTGCCGCCCCAGCCTGAGAGAGGACGTCGTTGCGCTGCCCCTGCGCAAGCAAATCCATGTTTGTTATTCTGGCAGGGGCTGACAGACGAATCAGCTCTGTAAGACTTCAGCTGCATGAACAATTTGGCTCACCGGACTTTCCCCAGTGTGCGCCTGGTACTGCTGCTGACACTGGATCGGTGTATCCAAATCCCGTTGGATCCAGGTTTGCGCATTGGAGGCGCTGGATGAGGGAAGAAAATCTGACATGGCGACGTCAAGGGAGTTTTCACGCACGGAGCTGGTATGTCGGGAGCATATCTAAGCTGCTATCAGATTCCTACTCACGTCGCGTCAGCTTTGGGAATGGATTGCGGCAGTTACATACCATGCTGAAAGCTCAGCACGAGCGCTGACGGTCACGGCTTCTGCAAGGCTGGCTCCGCATTCTAAGGAGCATGTGAGGGCTATGTGAACTATGCCAGTAGTATCTTTCCAACTACATAAGCCGCAAGCCGCAGAAGTGTTTGGGCACTCGGTTGAAGGTCACGCTTCCTTTCAAAGAGCCCACGCTTCGGTTGTGCATAAACGCTGAATTTACAACCGCATCAAGGGAAGCACCTAGAACAAACCAGCGTTTGCCGAGCGAAAGCCTTTTCCAGATGCTACGTGCATGCCCCATTCAGACTTTTCACTGGCCTGGTCACTGGCTTTTCTCAGCGCAGTGCCCCTCCAAGCCCCGACAACCCCGCCGGGCACGCTGGGGCGTCCGCGAAAGAACCGTGGCATCTTCCTGACATCCTGACCACCATTCCCAAGCACCTCCAACGCCCACTGGCCCTTCTGCACCTTTGCATCATTTTGCATCCTTTGCGTGCACCCACCGACTCCCTGATCTCTTGAGCGCTGCTCTGGTTATCAGACATCCACTTTTCGGCAGGCTGAGGTCGCTATGCACAGATGGTGAAGCGTTTTACGCTCCGTGTCATTGCGCAGATCTGTGCTCAAAGCAGCCCTGGCTACATCCGTTGGCAGTAAGTATTGGATGAATTCTGGTGGGTGCATGCCACGGTGACTTAGTCCAGCTGCATGTGGTTCGGCCCACTACCTGAACAAGTACACGGCTCTCGAAGAGGGCAACTCGGGAAACGAGGAGCTCCTGGGTGCCGGGCCGTCGTCACACTGCAGGGGATCCGCGGCCTCAGCCTCATCCTTCAAGCTTTGGCACCAAAAGGACCGGTGAGCCTCCCGACACAGCTTCGTTCATGGTTGGGTAAGCGATGGTACGAGTAAGCGGCTCTGGAAAATACACAACGGCTGATTGGCTAGTTCTGCACACGTCAACAACTTACATCCCATACTTTTGCATGCGTGCCCTCTTGTTCGCATGTGCGTGTGACATCCACATGACAAAGCCTGGCAGCATGCCCTGGCCAAAAACACGGTGCTGCAAGGTGGACGCCGGAGTTCCAAAAATATCTAGTGCGCACACATGCAGGGAACATCATGAACAAGTCTAAAGTCCCAGGCCAAAGAGTCGAAGCCGATGATTCCAAGCAGCGAGATGATGCTGCAATCTTAAGTGTGCCACGGTGCGTCTGCGTGTGTGTGAGCACCTCCCCGTGCGCCAGCCCGCCGGCGTGCGTGCAGCGCGCGCTTGCATGTGAGTCTGTGCGTCTGTGCGTCTGTTCGTCTGTTCGTCTGTTCGTCTGTGTGTGTGTGTGTGTGCGTGTGTGTGTGTGTGTGTGTGTGTGCGCTCGTGTGCGTGTGCGTGTGCGTGTGCGTGTGCGTGTGTGTGTGTGTGTGTGTGTCTGTCTGTGTGTGTGTGTGTGTGCGAGTGTGTATGTGTCTGTCTACATGCGTGTGTCGCTGCATGCATGCATGCGTGTGCGTGTGCGTGTGCGTGTGCGTGTGCGTGTGCGTGTGCGTGCGCGTGCGCGTGCGCGTGCGCGTGCGCGTGCGCGTGCGGTGCGCGTGCGCGTGCGCGTGCGCGTGCGCGTGTGCGTGTGCGTGTGCGTGTGCGTGTGCGTGTGCGTGTGCGTGTGCGTGCGTGTGCGTGTGCGTGCGCGTGTGCGCGTGTGCGTGTGTGTGCGTGTGTGTGTGTGTGTGTGTGTGTGTGTGTGTGTGTGTGTGTGTGTGTGTGTGTGTGTGTGTGTGTGTGTGTGTGTGTGTGTGTGTGTGTGTGTCTATCTGTGTGTGTAGTTATCCCATGAGTGCAAGGATGCGACAGAGCGAAGGGTCTGAAAATCTGCTGAGCTCTTGAAGTCAGCCTCCGCCCTTGACCAGGCGACCAGTGCCCCACATTGAGTGCAGACAACAGATGAGCCATCCTCGCTGCAAAAGGCTTTGGGAAGCTTTGGGAAGCTTTGGGTGTCGGTAGCGCGGCAGGTTCTGATGATCAGTGATCAGTGATCAGAGTGAGGTCCGCAGGGCCTTGCCTCCAAGGTCTTCTTGAGAATCTGGCCGTGTCCCCTGTCAAGCAGGCCCCGCACTGAAACGAACTGAAACGCAACAACATGCAGCTCAAAGAGCTGGCAGTCCTGTCCACCAAGATGCCTCCTTGCTGCAAAATCTCTCGGCAGACCTGCCGGCGTGACCCGCCGCACGTTCCCACTTGGGATGAACCCTCCGCCTGCATGGCCGACTCCCTTTGTGAAGCACGCCACGCAGCAGCCGCCATTGCCGTGGGCCCGGCCTCGTCTCATCACTCGCCCCATGACTCCAATTGACTCGAGTTGAAACCAGGCCCATCGTTGCTGACAAGCGATGAATCCAATACATGCAGACAGCGCAGAGCTGAAAAAAGAGCAAGGATCAACAGCCAAGCCAACAAGATAGCAAGAAAGCAACAGACGCAACAGCAGCAAAGGCACCGGCACCAGCAACAAGAACCACAACCACAACAGTCATAACCACAACCAAAGCCACGACCAACATGATGGCGACAGCGACGACGACTACGACTACGACGACGATTGCTACTCTGACGACTCGGCTGCGGCTACGGCTACGGCTGTTTCTGCTGCTACTACTGCTCGGCTGCTGCTGCTGCTGCTGCTGCTGCTGCTGCTGCTGCTGCTGCTGCTGCTGCTGCTGCTGCTGCTGCTGACCACATACCGTAGCTCCACCAGGAGCAGCAGCAGCAGCACGACCACCAAGCGCTACTCATCAGCGATCACAGATGTCCAGGGGTGAGTTCCTTGACGTATCTGTGATGTGAACATTCCAGCAACGTCGCTGTAACCCTCAGGACCGGACGCTCAAACAAAGTGCCTGTAGCGCACAGGACCTCAGTTGCACAAGCCCGTGCCGCATTCGGTAATAATGATTCTTCGTGAGAGTTGCAATGCATCTACGCATCTCTGACGAAGTGAACGCAGTGAACACATTCAAACTTCAGAGCTTTTGCCCTTCGCAAGTTACGTACAACTGTCAAGCCTGGTCCAACCCATTACCATGGGTCCGGGTTGCATGACCCGACATTGGTACGCCTTCTGTTTCTGGGAGCTGCACAGGGCGCCCTCGGGATCGCCGCTGTCCATGCGAAGGAACGCACCTCCCAGCAGTTCCTGCAGTTCGGACGGCGATTCTCGCTCACATCTGGCTCGCGACATGAGGTCTCGCAGGCTAGCTTTCAGGTCCTGAACTGCCATGACCTGGGACGTGTCGCCCATTCTGAACGTGGCGGGAGACGTCTACGCACGTCCAAACAAGAAATGCGATGTAGCACGCGAGATCTGGTCTACAGGACAAGTCGTCAATTGCAATGCCAGAGACTGCGCGTTGGATCTATACAGCGTGAGGTGAGGTGTGGGATGGTTGTGGATCATGCTGTCGAATGTTTACCAGTGCTGTATTGACTCATTTGACTGCTTGAGCTGGAAGCTACCCATGAGTGGGGCCACAATGGGTGTTGCACGGCATGCGGCCGGGCATAAGGCATGAAGGCATTCTGCAATTGCATTGGGCTTGCAATCCGCACGATTTTGGTTCCTCGCACGCCGCGCGGATTTGAGAATCATTTAGAGAATCGCAAGATTCCCAGCTATAACGACGGCATCCACTAGCCAGGAATTGGGATAAGTGCACTCCAAATGATACAGTACCAAGGCAATGCCATATACAGCATAAACATGCACATGTAGTCTGCTTTAAGTAACAATGCAAGCTGCGCAAGCTCCATGAGAGCAGGGGCTGCACTGCACTGCATGCACCTGAAGCGTTGAAGGCTCCCACAGCCGCTTTGGCAAGCTCAGTTGTAAGTCCAATCTTGAGTATAAGAACATGCTTGTGGAAGCGTCTCATGACTGTTCCGGTTCTTCATGGCTGTCTTGTATCAATCCCCACAGGCCCAGCTAGCTACCCAGCTCCAGAGGGCAGCAGGAGACCTTTGGGGAACTGCTCAGGACAATGTTGTCTCTCCCGTATGGAGAGCACGGAACGTGAGGCATAATATAAGAACGGGAAGCCTCCTCGAGAACGAGCCGTTGCGGCTTTGTAGATCCATTTACTACTACCCACTCGTGGTATTGGTAGAAGCACACGATGTTGAGCGGCTAAGCATGCTAAACGCGCACCTCTCTTGCAGGAAGCCCTTGTGGCCTCCCAGGTCGGATTCAACTGTGTCATCGGCGGGACCTCGCAGACAACTTTTCTACTGAAACAATTCAGTTTTCTCCTGTACTCATGCCTTTTCTCCCATGCGCATCCCTTGCTGGGGCACAGTCCGGGACCGCGAGTCGCGACGGCGGCTGGGCGAACGACGCCGGCTGTTAGACCTGGCAGAACAATCGCAGAGTGCAGACTGGGAGCACTACATTGAAAGCACTGCACGCATCTGCACACTCTCGTGAAGACGTCCATTGGCAACTAGATAATGAAGACTTGAAAGACGTCCCTCAAGGAGAAGAACTGTAGCCCTTCTTGACGTTGTGCAGCTGTGAATCGGTTATAAGCACCCTTTTCCAAGGATAAGACGGCAAAACATTGAGACTCTTGTGTGGCTTGAATTCTGGCCCTGTCCATTGCGTGCCGCGCCTGCGTCGGGAGTCCCGCCGCCCCCTCCTCCTGGAGTCCGAGCGGCTGCGTCCGCGAGAGTCCCCGCGGAGCTTCTCCTTGCAGGGAGAAGGGCAAAGGGAGAGGAAGGCCAAAGACGAAAAGACCAAGGCACACCCTCCAAACCGGGCTCCTGCACCATCTCGTTGATGAGACCTTGTGGGCTCATGAAGTGCTCGGAATCAGATGTGCCACTCACAAAAGGCATGCCAATGGCGGCTCCAGGATTCACAGCTGCATGCGCTGGACCCCACTTGGACCCTGTGAGGATGGGGCGCTCGGCGTGCATTCGCCCACCGTCTGCGGTCTTCGAGCCGCCATTGGCACTGAAGATCAGCAGCCGCTCCTGCTTCGAGACCATGAGACGGAACGCTATGAAAACACAGCGAGTCCACAGGAGGCCAGAGCTACACACCGGAGAGCCTTTCCAGTAAGCGAGTATTTTTTCTTTGACAGAAATGTAGAGACCTCTTCCTCTTTAAAAAAGCAAAAGAGAGCTCTGAAAGAGAGCTCCTCCCCCCTCCTCCCTTCTTTTTCCGAACACCCTGTGCGCGCCTCCCCGTGCCGGTCCAGGGCCATGAACATGAAGGTGCCCGTGGCCTCCCAACCAAACGAAACGAACAAAAGCAAACATCTGAGATATTAAAATACTACTATTCAACAAAAAAAGGGAGGAAGGAGCTCTCTCCCCCCCCCCACAAAATTGTGTGTGAAGATGAGGGTTTCTTTTGGCCGCCTGCTCCACGCGCCGCAGCTCGCTGCCCCTGTTGCCGGTCACCCAGCCTGCTGCCCCAAGGGAATCTCAAGCAATGTGTCCAAAAAAAAAAACTTCGCCCCAACGCAGATCGGCTCACCTTTGCAGTTCTCCGGAATGTGCATCTCCGTGCAGTCCTGCCCACACCAGACTTGCGCCGCAGATGCGCCACTTCATTCCAAGAACTACACCACACTGGCCTCTCTGTCAGCAACATCCGAGACGGTCACGGACCCGCGGCGCTGAGCCAACAGCCAATCCTCGGCTTGGGCTGCGCTCGCAGACATTTGGAGGCAACTCACAGCCTGCAGTGGGGAACTCAGGGGCAGGCAATGAACTGCTTGCAGCGCTTGCGCTCCTCTGCAACGAGCCGTGGATGCAAAGCGCACGCCGACTGCAATTCTTAAGACACGAGGTTGGTTTCCGCGCATGTCGTGGGGAGGGGGGAGGTCATGCGCGCGCGTTTTTCTGCTTCAGGTCCTTCAGGTCACCAGCGATGAAGGCCACGTGCCCCACATACCTCGCGTCAAGGACCCCAGCAAAACTTAGACTGACCAATAACTAGACTTCGAGCATGGTGTGGATATCATTATGAAATAACAGAACAAATAAACACACACACACACACACACACACATATATCACTCGATATGTGAGATGTGCATGTCTTTCTTATTCTGAAATATAGGTGTAAATCTTGCTCTTGCTAGGCGCACTGAAGGATGGATCCAGAAGCCAACTCCAACTTCTTGCGGGTGGCGCCCTGATGAAGGTGGCGTGCAAGGACTGTCAAGGACTTGTTGGAGCAAAGGTGAGCAAAGCCAGCACTCCAGCAAAGGTCAGGAACTGCCGATGCGGGAGCGGGTCTTCGAGATTCTTCGGGCAGCCTACTTGTTTAAAACTCGAGCTCTCTTTTGCGTGGCCAATCTATCCGCGAGTATACGTGCCGAAGCTCGCAGTTTTCTGGGGGGGCTCTTTATCATGCTAAGTCTGTACGGAGCAGGAACCAATTTAAACTTCTTGCCACGCTAATGGCAATCCCATGTCCCACTAGCGAAAATCCACTGCCCTCAACTGGAATTCAACTACGTACCCGCGAGTGGAAACCCAGTACCCAGTGGAAAGCCACTAGCGGAAACCCATTACTGCCCATTACCCATTAGCGGAAATGGACATCCCACTACCCATAAGTGGAATTCCACTAACCACTGTGGAAGCTACTGGAAATCCAACTCTACCCACCAAGGGGGACATGTGTGGGCTTGTTCACAACATGTCACAACCCTTCCCCATGATCAGCACAGCCTCCTTCCCCAGCGCGTAGCTCAGCTCATCATCCTGCCAGGCGCTCATTCTTGGATCTTTGAGGTCCTCGAAGGTCTTTCAGAGGGAGGGGGGGTCAAGATGACCCAACTGGCGCCTTCAGAATGAAGCGATCCGTCGCAAAGCCCCGCTCCTGGACTGGATGCACTCTTTCGCTGCGGGTCAGTCTCTGAAAACTTCGAAGCCCAGAAGCATCTGTGGAAACAAGCCTCGATCCTCTTCTTTCGGGTGAAAGGGGGGACTTCTCCGAGGACCCAGCAGAGCTGAACTTCTCGCGGACACCGCGTGTGAAGACGCCGGGGCTCTTCGTTTCCACGGCACTCATGATCTGGTCAAGGAAAGAAGGAGATTGAAAATGAAATGGGCTTCGGCTTACCCCAGCACTTAACTGCTAAGCACTGAATCCCGAAGCAGCTTGAAGTCGGACAACACCGGAAGAGGAGATCACCATAGATCACCCCTCACTCGCTGCTCGCTGCCCTTGTCCGCGCACCTTCAGCTCAGCTCCGCGGCGTGCGCGGCGGGCGCCAAAGATCGCCAGCTGCTCCGACGTTCCACGGCCTCCGCGTGCTCCCTGGCACGGGGGCAATAAGCTGAATCTCGCGAAGTAACTGCTGCAACTACATATATTTCGTTGATCTATGGAAGGCGGATGCTCGGCCGACAGATTCAAAACGACAACATCGAAAGGCAAGAATTTCAGAAAACCTGAGTCGAAGAATCGGACAACAGAATGGAGACAAACCAAAGACACCACCCCCGAGAAGAAGATGCGAAAAACAAACGGCAGTAATGTCTTCTATCTCGTGCCTATGTCCTTTGTCGCGTGTATAAGTCATGCTTGCCTACCTGATGGGAGAGAAAAAACACATCCCAGACTCGGCGAATCCTGCCATACTGGCGTTGGCACCGACAGCACCGCTGCCATCAATATTGCGAGCTGGCACGACTCTGCATGCACGGCATGACATCTTCCGAGGTCAACGTTGCCAGGTTTTGAGCACCCAGGCTTGAGGAGGTCGGGCTGAATTGGGCCTTGCTTGGTTCTCAACTTTTCTATTCTGAGCTGTCTTCCAAAAACTGCCAATTCTGTTTGCCATGTAGCCCCCCCCCCATCGTCTTTAACACGTCTCTAACCCTGACGCTCTACGAAGCTTGGGGGTCCGGGGACTTATTCAGGTTCAAGTCGGGCCTTGCCGCCACCATTTTGAGCCTCCTTGTTCATGAAGAACATGAGTGTTCCCCACTCCTCTGACATTGATTCTGAAAACTGATTCCGAAGTTGGGCAGAGAGACAGAGAGACTTGAGGGTGTTCAGCGTAGAGAATTCAGCGTGTGCCACTCAGAGGAACTGGTTGAAATCTGTGGTCGCAAAGTCCTCCTCCATGTTGCCCAGCGCGGCACGACGAGCACCAGTGACGTAGCCGATGCACTCACTTGGCACCTCTAGCAGCACCACAACGCCCGAGGTTCAAAAATGGCAAATTCGGCATCAAATGCTGAGTACACGAGCTGTCCATGACTCTACTGATGACAACCCTGCACACATGCGATTGGGCGCCATGCATCTACCACGGTGCAGTCGTCACGCTCTTCCCAGCCATTCACATAGACCTCATCGCAAATCAAGACAAGCTGAGAGAGGAATCCACAGAGTCATATCTGAGGTCTGTTGATCTTTTCGAGGCTGCCACTGGACCCTCCAACTGGTCGAAAAGCCACTTCATGTATTCCTCACTCGAATGCAGTTCGCAAGAGGATAATTACATTATGGAAATGCCACCCCGTCCTTTGCTTTTCTGCGCAGGTGCTTCTCCCCAGAGAAGAGGGCAACCTGGCAACAGCAAGCAGGTCTCAATGCACTGCAGCACGACGTTTTGTAGTGAGGACTGAGATGAAGTGGACTGGTGCTACAGCAGGGGCCACTCCCTCTCCAGCCTGACCAACATACTGCACCACTGCACCAGACGCCTTTTCGAGCTTTTTCCTGCAAAATGGCATTCCACAACACAACGAAACAAGGCGGGCAGGATTTGCAGTCTGGCATCAGCGGCCTGGTGCCGCCTTGCTTGCCAAGGGCGTAGGACAGTTCGTCGTCTTGAAAGGTCATCGTGTCAGTACCCCAGGTACCGTCCTCTCCAGCAGAGGCTCCAGAAGATCTCACCCAACTCTGCCCACCTGCGCATCCATCCGAACATCCGGAGACCCCGCTCCTCTCCCTTGCCCTTGTCGCGGTCGACAACCTACCAGAAGCAGGCACTCAATCACACCACCAGCGATCTCCATCCAGCCTCTCCGCTCGCTACCGATAGCCGCTCGATCTCAACATTTCGTTAGTCACTAGCTTTCGCAGCGCATGGCTTGATGCTACGTTGCTCTCTGTCTAGCAGCGTCTCTCTTCCGTCACATTCTTGCCTCGTTCCGAATTTTGTCGAAGTAGCCGGGCACCTGCACTGAGATAGAGTCTTGGAGTCACTGTAAGTGACAGCAGCATGCAGCATACGTGGACCCACAGAGATGTTGTCAACCAACTTGCCGAATCAATCATTGATCCGTGACCAGCCCCCTAAATCTTGGCGAGCGAAGCGAGCCGGTATCTAGGAAAGAAAAGGACATCATTGTCAAGGGGGTCCTTAGGGGGAAACGCCGTTTACGAGACCCTTGACCGTGAGCGCCATGTAGGGATTCGGGCCAGGAGCTAGGGAGCCTCACATCACGTCATCTCGAAACCTGCCATTCTTTCATTAAATTGGATCCGTCTGGACCGTCTGAACATGTGAGATTTCCTCACGCACCCTCTTAGCTACACGAGCTGACTTCCCGGCTGTATCCATCAGCAATGTCACAACCTTGCTGTGACCACTTCCTGATGCAAACGTTATAGCAGTTCGTCCGCAAGCATCCTTCAGGTCCTTGTCGGCACGAGCTTCCACAAGCAAGCGGACAATCTCACCATGGCCATTTCCTGCAGCCCACATCAAAGCGGTCTTGCCGTCCTGGACACCCTGATGCCATTGAATATGAAAGCCCCGACGGCTCTGATGGTAATGATGACCGCTGCTCTGCCGGTCAACGTCTGCCCTGGCGTGCAGGAGAGTCCGCACAATCCCCACATGCCCTTGCATGGACGCGTACATAAGAGCCGTCTTGATGTCGACGTCCACTTTGTTCACGTTGGCGCCAAACTCAGGATCAACCAGCAAGAGCACCATCTCTTCATGGCCGCTGTGTGCGGCTACTGTGAGAGGCGGGGTTCTTGAATGTGGGGTATTTGGGTCAGCAAAAGCTTCCAGGAGCAAGCGCGCCAGTTCCACATGACTTTGTTTGCATGCAGCGGTGAGACATTCCTCCACTACCTCACGGTCGTCTGTGTGCAGGTCGTCCAGATCTATGGGGAAACCACCATCCCACAGCAAGCGGGCCATCTCTATGTTGGCGTGCCTAGCTGCGACAATCAAAGCGTTGTTCCATGGACTGGTTCTATCTATGAGTATCTCAACATGGCCGTCTTCTCCCATCTTTTCGCAAGCTTCGATGTTGAGCCCCTTGAGGTCCTCCTCCTTCTCTTGCTTCATATCCGCGCCGGCCATGGCATCCAACAGCCGCTGTGCAGTCTTCACCAAGCCTGGGCGCGAGGCGCAGTCGACAAGCTCCACAACGGCTTCTACCTTTTTTGCGTGGGAGGACAAGGTGTCCAAAACAACCAAGCACAGTTCAACGGGAACCTCCACTTTGGCAGAATCATCCAGGATGCTGTCCCCGTGCAGAAGCTGTTGCATGCACACAGGCCAGCAGTGCAGCTCACGTAGCCGCCGTTTCAGTGCTAGCACATTATCGACTTCATGGTCAATGACTGCTAGCTCTCTCCCCGAGATTCCCAGCACACGGAGCATGCCAGGAATGGCGCAGATGCATCCGCCACCAGAATGCGCCGAGCACTGCGGTAAGTTTGTGCACGTGGCTGCCTTGAATTATAGGAGGAGTGTGTATACTAGCAAGAGACTTTGATCGGGAACGGATGGCCAGAAATACTCTTGATGTTCTATGAGCAGCTGAAACATGAGCGCGGGCTGTTGCATATAGCTCCTCAGTTAGTGTTTTACAGGGCTTGCCTACGTAGGTGTACCTTTCCCTCCCCACACCCCCGAAACACCAAACTGTCTCAACGAGCACACCACCAAGCCACCAAGTATCCACCACTTCTGCCAACTTTTCAGACGACTCGTGTTTAAACGCCCTTTTCAACTCTCCTTCTCCCCGCATCTCTCCGTGCCTTGGTCTCCACGGCACTGAGGACCTTGAGCTCCGCACCGCGCCGCGCTCGCACCTGTGCACAGCTCCGCTCAGGTCTGGTGTCACAGGGACGCTTCAGCCCCTCACTGTGCCAAAGATGGCAAGCTTCTCGTAATCCTGCCCGACAAGTTGCCACACAGCCATGAGGGTACACATGCCACACATCGCGGCTCACAAATACGCGCAGTCGCAGCTGTTCGCAGAGTCCTTTCCACGCCCACGGGAGCCATCCACTTCACAGAAGAACATCAAAGTGTTCCTCAGTTGCCGAAATTCCACGAGGCACGAAGCGATCCCTAACTTCGAAACAAGGCTGTGGCCACTCCTCCTCGATGGTGCGCAGGAAGTTACCGGCCCTCGCAATAGGCACCACTACAGCCCGCAACGACAGGGCCCAGGTTGACGGAGACTTGCTCCGGCCTTCCGGTGACAAAACCGACAGCCTCCTGTGGGACACTGATCATCGTCAGGTCGTCATCGTCGTCGTCGTGCTGGCACAGCCGCTGTTAACGTGCGCCAATGTGTGACACTGCGCACAACCAAGGAAGAACATCATTTTATGACGCATACAGTACATACAGACTTAACAACAAAAACAACTTGAAGCTGACAGCTTCGTTGATATGCAATACAGTGTGGTGCGCGAAGCTATTGCAACGCACTTCCAAAGCAAGACGCGCCTCCGTGACGTTGACCGGCCCGGTGCGCTGGTCCATCACTCCCTTGCAGTACTTCTTCGCACGCCGTCTGCACAACCTCTGCAAACCAACGGCACGAGCGGCTTCAGGCGACACACCAAACAAGCCCTACAAGCCCTAAGCCCTACGTAAGTCTGAGCCCACCTATGTCACACCTTGTCACGGTGCACGATGACTCGAGCGCATCCAGGAAGCTTCGAGCCGCGAATCTCAAGAATCAGGTCCCGCTCGAAGAGCTCGATTTCAGCGCCTCGGGGAATGTTGGGACTCGGGTGTGCTTGGGCGGCCGGCTCTGCGGGCTTCTCGGTTTGCAAACTTCAGATGGCAAAGGCAGGTCTTCCCTGGCTGCTAGCAGTATCATACTGGGGACTCGCTGACATCGCTCGGCCTGGCCTACAGTACCAGACGCTTGATCCAGCTTTGCAGCATGGTAGACGCGATCCCGTTGTTTTCAAGGTACTTGTGGGGATCCCCTAACATTCTGCTTTCCCGGCTTACCCGACTATTTTGAAGCACCCAAACTGTCATCGTCTTACAGGAGGAGGAGGGGGAGGAGGAGGAGGAGGAGGAGCAGGAGGAGGAGGAGGAGGAGGAGCACCGCACGTGCTTTTGTGCACGAGGTTGGGGTTATTAAGATCGCGGCCGGAAACCTTGGAGATCTTCTCTTTGGTCTTCCCACCCTTGCCTTGGACACGACGCCACCGGGCAAACGAAAACATGCGTCGTGTCGGCGGGCCCCGAGCCCAGGATGAAGGCGGCATCGTCATCCGTGATCTTCATGGTGTCGACGCCATGGTCCTTCGTGCTTCGCCCAAGGTGTAAGGGTGCAGGGTCAAGAGAATGTGATCCCAATCACCACTTCCTCCTGAGACTGAGATGCAAGATGCAACGCTTTACGAATTTGGAGCAATGCACGGAAAACACTCTCCGCATCTCTCTGTGATGCTCCGTGGCCTCGGGTTTCTTGTTGCGGCTGCGGCTCCTGCTCGGGCTCCGACTGTCCTCCATGCTTGTGCAAAGGCAGAACAGTGCACCTGCCTCCTGTAGAATTCTCTGGCATTGTTTAGACATACGACAGAACAGGTCCCGGCACCTTGCGGTTCCCGTCGCGGCTGCGGCTTCGGTCCCTCAGCACAGAAGAGACATGGGGCTGGCACTCGCGCTTGCACTTCTGGGGGGGGGGGGGGGTGGGGGGGAGGGCAAGGCCTCAGGCGGCCTAACAATGGCCTCACAATAGCCTAACAATGGGCCTCACGCTCCAAGGTAGCGACCACCTAGGGCCGCTTCTCTTAGAGCTCGTGTCTGGACGCAGAGGTTCCGCAAAG